TACTCTCGAAATTTGAAATCATCAAAAGGGAAAATATTTTCAGATATCGGCAAAAATTAATAACCAGAGGTGCCCAAATCGTATTAAGAAAATATAAGCTTTTAATTTTTTAAAAATATTATACAAATTGATTTATATAAATGACCCGCTTACTCAGACTCAAAGATAAAATAAAAAGTGTTAAATAAGAAGCGTTTTTTAATTATTTTCGTAAAAAGTTTATTGCATTGTATGTATACGAAAAAAATGCAGCAGTTAATTTATAATAGGGGTTTTTTGTTTTTTTATCATTTAAAAATATATTATATAGTGACTGGGGAGATTCTTGGAGTCAACAAAGGGAAACTATTTTAATATTTTGCGCGAAGTAAAAGGGTTTTTGCGCCATGACAATGCACCTTCGCATACTGCATTGATTCGTGAGTCGTGAGTTTTTTGGCAAATTTTCAATCATTTACCTGACTTAGCTCCGTCAAACCTCTGAATATTCATAAAAATCAAACGCCCGCTTCGAGGAAACCGCTTTGGGTCAATTGAAGACATTAAACCTCATTCGCTACTCGTATTGAAGGCTTTTCTGGAAATGGACTTTAACAGCTGCTTCGAAGATTGGAAAAACCGTTAGCACAAATGTATTGTGTTCAACAGGAATTGATTTGAGTGGGAGGACATAGTTTTTGAAGACCAAATTACGAATTTTTCAAATTATGAACAAAGTCTTACTACTTTTTGCTCTTAGTAGTATACTAAGTATATAAAAATCAGAATAATAATTGAATTCTGATATTTTGAGCACTTGTGCTTCTTGGTACTCAAAAAGGTTTGTATTGATAATGGATGGAATCGGACAATGTCACTTAATCTGTGAGATATTACAATGAAACTGGGAACTCCAACTGGTTTCCGTTTACCTTCTCATGCAGGCAAGTCGAGTCGGTATCGACAAGTCAATTCGAATATTTGTTTCACTGAAATAAATTACTATATTTCATTAAAAATTATTCATATTTACTTATGTACTATATACATATGCTGACGATAATTTTGATTTATCAAAAATTCATATCATTTACCATATCATTAATTTTAGTAACCAACCATTCTCAAGTATCAAAGTAAAGTAAGAAATATTGCTTCTTCATTAAAATATTTTCTTCTTCATTTACATAAAGTTGAGCATTTCCTTTTTACTCACCCAAATTTATGTACATAAATACGTTTTATTAAAACTGTTGATTATCGTCCATTTTAGTTGAGTATAGCAATTGTGTTACCGTTGGAAGGTGACCAGTTTTTTTTATATACACAGTATGTATTTTAATAGTTAATTGGTTGATATTTTGGCCTTTTACATTCTTCTTCTTCTTGATTGGCGTAGTCACCGCTTACGCGATTATAACCGAGTTAACAACCGCGCGCCAGTCGTTTCTTCTTTTCGCTACGTGGCGCCAATTAGATATTCCAAGTGAAGACAGCTCCTTCTCCACTTGGTCCTTCCAACGGAGTGGAGGACTTCCTCTTCCTCTGCTTCCCCGGCGGGTACTGCGCCGAATACTTTCAGAGCTGGAGTGTTTTCGTCCATCCGGATAACATGACCTAGTCAGCGAAGCCGCTGTCTTTTAATTCGCTGAACTATGTCAATGTCGTCGTATATCTCGTGCAGCTCATCGTTAGATCGAATGCGATATTCGCCGTGGCCAACGCGAAAAGGACCATACATCTTTCGCAGAAATTTTCTCTCGAAAACTCGCAACGTCGACTCATTCGTTGTTGACATCGTCCAAGACTCTGCACCTTATAGCAGGACGGGAATTATGAGTGAATTATAGAGTTTGGTTTTTGTTTGTCGAGAGAGGACTTTGCTTCTCAATTGTCTACTCAGTCCGAAGTAGCACCCGTTGGCAACAGTTATCCTGCGTTGGATTTCTAAGCTGACATTACGCCAGCAACTGTACACTCTTATAGCAGATGGTACCTTCTCTATTTAGTTCTGCAGCTCGAAATATTTTCTACAGAAGCTGGTTGAAAAAATTGCACAATAAGGAATCGGCTTGTCTGAAACCTCGTTTGGTATCAAACGGCTCGGAGAGGTCCTTCCCGATTCTGACGGAGCTTTTGATGCTGGTCAACGTCAGCTTACACAGCCGTATTAGTTTTGCAATGATACCAAATTCAGACATCGCGGCATAAAGGCAGCTCCTTTTCGTGCTGTCGAAGGCAGCTTTGAAATCGACGAAGWGGTAGTGTGTGTCGATTCTCCTTTCACGGATCTTTCCCAAGATTTGGCGCACGGTGAATATCTGGTCGGTTGTTGATTTTCCAGGTCTGAAGCCACACTGGTAAAGTCCGATCAGTTTGTTGACGGTGGGCTTTAATCTTTCACACAATACGCTGGATAGAACCTTATATGCGATGTTGAGGATGCTTATCCCACGACAGTTGGCGCAGATTGTGGAGTTTTATTTTTTGAGGATTTGGCATAGCACACTTAAATTCCAATGGTTGTGCATGCTTTCGACCGACCATATTTTACAAAGAAGCTGATGCATGCTCCTTGTCAGTTCTTCGCCGCCGTGTTTGAAAGCTCGGCTGGCAATCCATCAGCCCCCGCCACTTTGTTATTCTTCAGGCGGGTAATTGTTTTTCGAACTACTTTCTGGTCGGGCAATGGAACGTCTGCTCCACCGTCATCGATTGGGGAATCGGGTTCGCCTTCTCCTGGCGTTGTGCGTTCACTACCATTCAGCAGACTGGAAAAGTGTCCCCTCCATAATTTAAGTATGCCCTGGGCATCGGTGACTAGATTACCTTTCGGCCTCCTTCTTTTTCAGTCTGCAAATGCGTCTCGCTTCCCTCTTCAACTATCGGTATCTATCCCATCCCGCACGTGTTGTGGTCGATTGTAACGTTGCGAGACGGTACTCCTCGCCGTACCAGGTGTTCTTTTGTACTTTCCGAAAACCAATGGTTTCGGTTGCGGCTGTACGTAAAGAGTTTGAAATGCCGTCCCACAGTTCCCTTATACCGAGTTGTTGAC